GGTAGAAATAAGATAATACAGTAAAGCAACTTTTATTATGTTGATTGCATTAGTATGATAAGAAAAATAAATGTATGAAAGTACTGTTTATGCAGAAAAATCGCGCCTGTGAGTGATATTTACATATTATTTCACTGCAGCTGGTCGAGATGGAAGTTTGAACAACTTTATAACCCTTTAGGGAATTACATTTATACATCCCTTATTTTCTAAAACACAAGTTGACGTATTCAGATTTCTTGTTTGAGTAAATTTGAGTGATAGTAACTACAGCATATATTAAATGAAAGTATCTCAAAGTTGTACTCATAAACAGATAAACACACTTGGATCAAACATCGAGCCTTCAGCAGTAAAGACCCGTATTTTGCATCAGTCTAATCGACTATTGAACTTTTTTACAGGTTTAGTTTTTTCCATATTCCCCTCTGAGATTTATAAATCTTGATATTTTGCATGTTCAGGTTTGTCGTTGTCTTTTGCAGAAGGCCTAAACATGGATTTTGAAGATCTTGATGTAGTTGCAGATAGAGATCTAGAGACCAGTGTTTTAAAGGAATAGTCTGACATTCAGGGAAATATTGTTATGTGTTGAATAAGTTAGATAAGAAGACTGATCGCCCTCTCACATTCGTGCAACAACTCTGGAGTAAGAGCCGTAACTGCTTTAGCTCATGGACATGGCGAACTCTCTGAAAAGTTTACAAATACGTCCACCGGCTATTCTAACGTCCTGGTTAATCCGCACGCAGACCAAAATGTGGTCGCTAACAGGTCTGGCAGGTCTGACCTCGTATCTTCTGGAGGTTGCTGTCTTATCATCTGCCAGCAGCCAGCAGAGAGAGGCCTGAGAGAAGAGGCACCAAGGCTGCAGAGGAAAGGAGGTCAAAGTGTCATAAAGAGATGAAGTCTCGTCCTTTCTGGGTTCCTCTTTGGAGCCTTCATTTTTCTTTTTAAACATAGACTGTGTATCAGAAGTGAACGGAGTCACAGAGACATCACCCGTCTGTCTGTGGTCTGGTGTTTTGAAGCCTCGAGTTCGGCATTTTGGTCGTCGCCATCTTGACTTTTTCCAGCCAAAAGTTACACGAGAGGGTGGAGCTACAGTAAGTACAACTGAACACAGAGTAAGACTTTCATGGAGTGAAAACACACTGTGAAAGGGTTAAAGTTGTAACACGAAAACACAGACAACAAACAGGACAACGCCGTGGTAGAGACTCATCAATCACAAAGTAGTATTTGACTCTAAATGGAGTATAATGTACTAAATGAACATCATGCTGTATTGAAGAAGACTTGAAACTAGAGATTGAGACCATAAACTCATGTTTACAATGTTTACTGAGGTAATAAATCAAGAGAGAAGTAGAGTCATTTTCTCATAGACTTCTATACAACCAGAGGAGTCGCCCCCTGATGGACATTAGAGAGAATGCAGCTTTAACACATGAAGCTTTGACTTCAATGGCGAGATACATATGTTTGTTCACTGACATGAAGTGAAGCCCAAAGAAGGCCGATGAGTGGACAAACCCTCACTATTTACTTTTCCTTTGCATATTTTCACACTTTCTCTTCTTTATACAGTGTTTCCTTGTTTGTCTTTACTTCAACACAGAAACTTAAGTAAACAGAAAACTGTTAAAGAAGTTTCTAGTGTGAGTACTGACTTCTACAGACACAGCGTCCCCTCGCAAGCTTCTTTATCCCCACTCAAGGAAGGAAACATTTGCCGAATCAACTGAGTCATCACAAACAAGTTACTTTACTGTCTGTTTCAAGTGTCAACACACTCACACGCGACAAGCCAGACTTCTGAGTCATCTCGTCCAATCGACACACCTTCTGTCCTTAACCAAAGACAGAATAGCCGTGTTTACAATGCATGGTTTGATTTGTTTGAAGCCTTCGGCATTGACATGCCTGCAGTCAGCTGCGGCCAAGGACAGGTTAAACAAGAGCTGCATGTCACATTCATGAACATAGAGAGAGAGGGGGGGGGGGGAGAGAGAGGCATCGCTGTGACCTTTCACTTATTTCTCCAAGCAGCTTTGGGAAACTGTGGGAATCCTGTGAAGTCGGGCAACTTCAGTGAAAGCTCAAAGAGAGGGAGACAACGGAAAACCATAACCTCTCCTCCTTATTTGTGAATGACACGTGATCATATGTCTATTAAAGTATAATTACTACAAATATCTCGTATATTGTGCATCACCGATATGTTTGCCAAAAGAACAAGTTCCACCAGGCCTGTGACATCTTCTCACCATAGTTTGAGAACACAAACATTAACACAGATGCACAAACTGTTCTGTGTTTGCCGTGTTACTGGAGGGAGGGGGGGGGTTTGGATATCACCGTCGCTGCAGGTCGATTGTGTGCGAATGTGAGTTGCTTAGCACCTGGTAACCGTATAGCCTGAAACCTTATCGTCCTGCGTTTTAAAGAGCTCGTGCTGTGCTGGACTCTCTCTCGCTATCGTCTCTCACTCGCTGTGATAATAACGTGACAAAGGTCAGAGACAAGCAGCTGGATAAGCTATGACATAACATGCTGTAGAGTGAGTGTGATGTGTGGTCCTGAGACAAAAGGTTTTGGTTCACTGCAGGATGCTAAAGAGTGTTGCACATCCAGAGTCTCGGTTACATGGTTTTCACTCTAAAATGACACAGAAAGCGTAAATTTAAAGAGTAAAACCTCAGCTCAAGTCTCCAAAACTCTAAACACATTTTCTTTGCATCTAATTTGCAAATCAACATGGCTCTTTTTGCCATTTTTCTTTTCATCAGCCAAATGAAATCTGACATGAAGTCACTTGTTTGTCATTTGAAAATGCTGCCATTCAAAGTGCCACACTCATGGACCAATTATCCAGCACACCTGCCACCTGGCCAAACACCTAACTGTTTAATTGTGGACTCATTAATGCATGTAAGCACTACAGAAATACTACAGGTTACAGTGGAAGCCAACATAGAGGCCTGTTTTTAAAAAGGGTGTTTTGGCAGTTTAAACAAATGAATTTTCTGTGTTTTATGTAGTAAATTCTGTTGATATGTTACATTCTGATTTTCAGTGCAAAATGCAACCTTTAAAAATGCATTGATGTATTGATTGATTTTGCAAAGTGGAGAGAAATACATACTGTATACTTTCATCAGTGTGCAGTATCTGGTGTTGTGTTTTGGTCAATATATTCACTTCACTCGAACAATATCGCTGACAATCAATTTTAAAAACAGGGCTCATTTTGTCAAAAGACAAAAATTTACACAACCACACACACAATTTTTTTTGCAAAATAAAACACTTTCATTCAAAAAACATACCATTACTTATAAAAATACAAAACAATTTAGTGACTTACACGGTTCATACACTCTGATGCAGTTTGAACCAGTCACACTGCTGTGCTCAATCTGAAACAATTCTACTTTTCTAATGATAAAGTCCGGGTTTGATTTGTCAGCGATATTGTTAGAGTGAAGTACATGAATATATTGACAAAAACACAACACACACTCAAAAAACGATGCTTTAAACAAGCTTAATAAAATCATGGAAAGTATTTCCACACGATTGAACTTCTTTCGTTAAGCATTAGGCACTTATGTTGGATCAACTTAATTTATTAGGGTTGGTTCAACTTATTCACTCGGGTTGGGTCCATACTTAACTTAATAAGATTGGTCAAACTAATTTTACAGTTTAAAATTAGAGTAGTAAATTAAGTTGGACCAACAGAATTGCTTCATGCTTAAAGAAAGCCGTTTAATCATGTGGAAATACTTCACATGATTTTATTAAGTCCGTTGAAAGCGTTTTTTTTGAGTGCACAAGATCAGCGCTGCACACGGAGGAAAGTACTTATTTCTCTTCTGACTTCCAGTCAGGGTGCTTTCTGCTGCTCCTCTGATAACATTAACAAAACTTGGCACAGAAATGTTGTCTTCTTAAGTTTCCTTGAGCCGTTTTAAACTTTCTTGACCAGGATGCAGATGTTTAATGACCACGTCAGGCTGCTTGATGCTGATTCCGAAGAACCCAAAACTGCTCACTTTCTCCGCACACACACACACTCATTCATATGTGTATGAACACAGGCAAGCTATAGGCTTAAAAACACAGTTAAGTGCACTTGAGGATTACGCATAATACTCTATTACAGACTGCAGACTTTAAAGTGACCACCAGGGGGGTTTCAAAACCTCTCGTGGCTCATTGGTTGCTCAAACGCTGCATTCAGAAAGAGCACCTCTGATTGGCTGATGCAGATTGAGTGGCACATGGAGGTCCCGCCCCAAACCAGGGCGGAGTGAAAAGATGGATGATGAGTGGGGGGGAAGAGCTCTTTTTACAAATGAAAATGTAAAGTAACATCACCAGCATCACAATGAAAGCCTGAAAAGTTTGTGAACTGTTGCTGTTTAATAATTTGAATATTTAAGGTTGACTTGAGCATTACGTTTCTGCACAAGAGGAGAATATGGAAGAGGTCAGAGGTCAATATTCAGCACGCTAAAGTAAAATAATGCATGAACATCTTAAAATAAACAGTGACACAATGTGACACAAAGATAAGTATGCTCTGTCTAATATTATACACAGCAGGTTAGTTGCAAGTAACTCCTTTTCCAGCATCAATTTGACAATTCAGTCACTTTCCTCTCAGCAGATCATCTTTCCCTGTTATATTATCTAGCACAGACTCAGGATCAGTTCACCATCCCCCCGGGCGTGACCTCAAACAGCAGGGGTGGCGAGAGCAGCAGCTGATCGCGGATCAGTCTCTGAGTGAAGTGAAGTCACCGTTTCCATCTGGGCTGCAGGTTCACAGCCCCCCCACCCTGTTACATAGAGGCCCGGCTTGTGGCTCTGTGTAATATTCTGATTGGCCGGTTAATTTGCTGTGGGCGGGGGAGGGGGCGTGGCTACACGTATTGTGATCTCACAATCAGCTGTTTTGTACGTTCTACATTCTGATCCGAGGATGCGAGGATCAGCTGGCAGCAGCAATAAACAGAAGGAAAACAGAAAATCTGCAGCGGGCAATATATATATATATATATAAATATATAGAGAGAGAGGAGGACAGAAAAAAAGCTGCAGATGTTTTGATCTGAAAGAAACAAACGTGTAAAAAACATTTTTTTACACGAAGCCCTTCTTCTGAGAAGAAAGCCTTTTATTTTTGTGGCTATAATGGTGTTTTAACTACCTCACTTAAAGACTATCTAAAGCTATGCTTTAAAGAATTGTTGTCGTTTCTACTGTGTGTGAGATCTCGTTTACAACTTGAATAACACTGCAAAGGCAGGTAAGCCATTCCTTACTCTTCTTTTTTGTGTGTTTTTCGTGCTTCAAGTGTTCTGACCGTGTCAGTGTGTGTGTGATCTGAAGAGGTATCGGTTGTCTCTGCTATCCTCTTTATTTGTTTTAGCCTACAGAGGATCAGCCGTCATGACATTATAGAACAGGTTACAATTCTCATTAAGAGGCTATCTTTGACCGCAGCGTTATAATAGGGAATGACCTATTATTAGGCCACGGATGGATTTGAGAAGACCAGACTGTTTAATCCGGTCGATTCGACGTCCTTTAATATCCCAAAAAATGAAAAATGACACCATCCCGCATACGTGTATCGAGGCTTTTCCAGGACAGCAGCAGCCGTTGTTTGGTAAATTGCACCAAATGCTGATGTGGAGTCGATGGCGGATGTTGATGTGTGTGTGTGTGTGTGTGGGGGGTGGGGGGGGGGGATTTTATTTCATATTTATCATGTAAAATAACAGTTTCATTGGATTGTCAGCTGCATAACCCGTCGATGTGTTTCGTGCACTGAGCCACAAGCTGTCATTGCTGTGACCCTTCAGCTGGAGAGCTTACACGGATAATTCATGTTGAGCTGGATTCTCTCTGCAGAACAACTCTCCGACAGCCCGACCCCGAGCTCGATGTTTTATTCTCGCTTTATTAATTATCTTTCTATATCTTTGAACGTTGTTGCTGTGTGCAGCCTTTATTTATTTAAATTTTTTCCTAACGTCAACGATGACCGTCGACACTCATAAACAGCCATTTAAACAAACTGATTGTTTTGCAAAAACATGCAGATAAAGCGACACGTATAAAGGTCATAATATCGTTTATTTCCGTGTATGTCCTCAGATGTCTTGTTGTTCTCCGGTCGCCTAAAAAAAAAAAAAAAAAAAAGCTGGAGCCTCTCTGGCAGTTTCAGTGACGTGTGCGTGACGTCACGGGCGTCTTGTTTTTATTTGGTGAGTCTCCTCCCATCCGGCTCTGCTCCACCTCCTTGTTAAAAGGACCAGTGTCGAAAGACGGATCCATAATTCAATGGCCCTTTTTTTGTTTTAGGATTTGCAAATGTTCCTGTGAAATGTTATTCATCTTGAATAACCTAACCCTAACCCAGGAGGGTTAATATCCACCTGCTGAGCCAGATGTTAAAAATACATCCTACAAATACAGTTTAATGACCTATTTTATCAATTTGAGCATTTCATTTTTTAGCATTTAGGAGGATCTATTGGCAGAAATTAAATGTCGTATTAATATGTATGTTTTTAATCATCTGAAAACAAGAATTGTTGTGTTTTTGTTAGCTTAGAATGAGCCGCTTATATCTAGGTACAGAGCGAGTTCTCTTCACTGAGTCGGCCATGTTACTACGGTAGCCCAGAGCGGACAAACCAAACACTGGATCTAGATGGCGCCATTCGTGTTTTAGCATCGTCCACCGTAGTTTTCCTTCACGTTTGGCACACGGGAGAAGTTTCAGTTGTAACCTCACCACTAGATGTCGCCAGATCCCACACACTGCACATTTAAAAAGGCATCCTAAAAATACGGGTTTAATGACCTATCTTATCGATTTAATTTAACAACATATGCACAAGATGGTTCGGTAAACATTCACCATTAATTATTACCACAGTGGAGTTACTGTACTACAGCTGCAATCCATTTTAATAAGGACAAAAAGACCACCATTAAAAACATAATAGGCTGACCAAGACAGAAAAGACAAAAGAGGACAGCCAGACTAACATTGTCTTGACTGAAACTGTTCAAAAAAATACTTTTTACCCTCTGCTTTCTCACATGTAAAACATTCAGCCTCAAAGGATATTTATCAGTGTTAATGGGTGGTAGCTGTTAGATAATACTTGTAAACAACCATTGCCATATATTTAGGAGCTGTCTCCTCCAGGATATAAGTCAAATCAGTGGTGGTATCAATGGCTATATTTGCACTAGTCAGACAGTCCTGAAATAGCAACCCAACTGATAAAGCTCTTTTATCAGGGACGTGCTGCATGTACTCAGTGTTGAGTGTGTGTGTTTTGTGGATGTTTGCTGCACCTTATGCAAAGCCGCCCTCAGGCCTTGTCACCGAAATGTTGTTTATCTGGATCTGTCATGGTTCACATGACTGTCTATTGGTTCATGAATGCATTAAAACCTTGTCAGTGTTGAGGACGGACCCAGACACAGTTTGTTGTTGTTTTTTTGGTTTTTCCTTGCAAAGTATCCCAAAAATTTGCGTGCGACTGGAATCGTGTTTTTAACACGTGACCTAGAAAGTGAGTCAAAACGAAGGAGCATTAAAGAAACAATTTGCAGCTTTTGACCCAATTTTCTCCCCTAAATTCATCTCTAATTTTCTCTTATTTTAAACCCATGCAACAGTCTCCTTGACAGTGACTTGTTAAAATTATTGTTCCCTCTTTTTGTTACTGGTGTCCATGGTAATTCTCCAAATAAGGACAGAAAGTGTCCGCTTCCCAACAAAGCACCCATGCATATCACCTTCCACATCTCTGCAGATGAATGTCTCTGTCACACAAACTCCGTTTCACCTTTTAATCTGCGCTCCTTCGTTAATACCAGCCTCCGTCGTGTCGATCCCCCCGTGTAGTTGGATGAAATGGTTGAAAGTCAGCGGCACATATTGGATTTCTATGAGAAATTAAAGACAGGTCAGTCGGCAGGGTCAAACAGAGCGTGCACTGAAATAGGTCATGATCTGGAATTTAAACCTCTGACACTCTGAAACTACAGATGGGCTGTGCAAAAAATATGGGAAGAAACCAATTTAACCTAAAATTCAAGCGATATCTTTGAGTATTGACAGCAGTTTGCTCTCTTCAGTCATTCCAGTAAATAGAACTCTGAACATGTAAGGGTTTGTCTTGTGAGCTGTGGTTGTTCAAACATCTGTTCAACATTACATCACCATTCATATTTAGGTCAGACACTTGTCATCTGCCTCAGTGCCTTCTGTCCTGTCGGTCTTTGCATTTGAACATCGTGCACACTCACTTTGTTTGACTTTGAGAGAGTCCAGGTCTGTGGATCACTTCCTCCTCTTCCTCCTCTTCCTCCTCTGGCCTGTCCATCTGTCCTGAGACTGTGCTGAGTGGTTATCTAAAGTTCTCGGGGGAAGGGGGTGCAGACATTGTCCACCATCTTCTTGCTTGATGATTCATTTAAATAATAATTTTTACATAAAAATTTGATTAAATATTTTGCAGTCAAATCACATAGTTTACAGGATATTCAACCTTTGTTTCTTTATAGTACATTTAATACTTAACTTCTTTCTTTACTGGACTTACACAAAGGCCTTAAAGTAGACCTTGAATATGAGATACGAGTTCACAGTTAATAACAATTCCTCCTTGGCATTGTAGAGGTTGGTACTACAGACCGTATTTTAGGTCATTGTTTTGGTTTTGCAGCCCTCAACTTTGTTCTTTTGGTTCACTCTAATGTCCGTTCTCATCAGCGTCATCGAAACGGGTCTGATTGCAGTTTTTACGTAGAACAGGAACGCCAAGTTTTTGCCCAGCAACTATATTGTCCTCTTCGGTCTAACTAGCTGAACAAAGCTAGTTAGCTTGCTAGCTTAACAAAGCAAAGTTAAAGCAGTTAAAAGAGACAGATATTTCCCCCAGGAGCTGGTGGAGACCAAAATAAAGTTAAAAGGAGACTGAGTATTTGTCAGTAGGTCAGAAACACTAAATGTGTTGCTTTGTCCAAGCTGGTCTTAAGAGTCCCACCTCATCTATGATGCAAGTTACCTAAATAAACAGCTTCTCTATTTAATGGCACATTGTTTTGTGTCAACATGTCATTACAATACAGGTCAGAACGCTTTGAGGTTTGAGCCCAAACAATAGTTACAACTTGAAATAACTCTTACCACACACATTGCTCATTGTGATGATCTAATGTACCCTGACTAAGCAGTGCAGGAAATTAACCCAATAAGGGACTTCTCTTTTTTAAGATGTCTTGTCAAAGAAAATATGTTGACCTTTTCTTCTGATTACCACTAACGCCGCTCCTCCTTCTCCCTCTCCAGGCCTTTGCTCCAAACCAAGTGAAACCTTATATTTGCACTACTGAAGCCTGTCCACTCCTGTTTGTCAAAACCGAGATCCAGCAAAGGGCTTCAAAAAAAAAAAGAGAATAAAAAAATCTGATAAAGAATTACTTAAAACCGCAACAAGCGACTACCAAAACACAAATAAGAAATTCAAAACGGCAGCTACAGCTTTTTCTTTGTGGACGACAAAAAGCACCTGAGTCATCGACACTTTGACAACACAAGCGGTCATGTTCCAGCGTCTGAGCAACCTGCTGTTTGGGGAGGTGGAGGAGGTGGCGGCTGACCTGAAGGGACCCAACCCCTGTGTGACGGAGGCCGACGAGGAGGGATGGATGCTCGTCAACCTGCCTGGTGAGTCTCTTTAGAGCCAAACTTTACCAAACTGGGAAGGAATTGTGTTTTATGTTCAAAGATTGAGGTAGCTGAGAAGTACTTCTGTTCCCCTTTGCATGACTATAATACTGACTAACGCCTGAAGTAATGACGGGGATGATGGGGTGAGGTGACGAATCAGTCGGGGCGTGGGCGCAACCCCACCGGTGCTCTCCCACATGGCTGCCGTACCAAAAAGAAACATAATTGTCTGTGAACATGCATCTCCTCTTCCTCTTTGTTTATGATCTCAATCATGACGAAAGGCAATTATTGAGTATGAAAATGTGCCAAAACATCAAAAGCGACATCAAATTCAGAATCAAGGCAAAACATTATGTCACTGACATAATCGTAACCTTAGAGGGTCAACACAACTAATGATGTGACTCTTTTATGTTCTGTGTTTCCTTACCCCCCTCTTCTTCCCCTCCTTAATTTTTTTTTAAACACCCTTGCATTCCCCCCACACTGGTATGTGTGCGCGTGCGTATGTGATCCCTTAAAAAATTGCCCCCTTTCAACCCGCATGTTTTCTTTTGTTTTTTGTTTTTTAAATCTACCATATTTGCATTCTTATTGTTTTTTGCAACATCCACATCTGTCTTTATTGGCCGTCTCATCCCCGATCCTCCTCGCTGCCATGTGCCCAGAAGATTCTGACTGCATGACGTGGGCGGAGGATGTGATGGGATCCCCACTGATTGCACAATCACTCCCAGACAGTAACCAATCAAATCATCAAGTCACACATGCGAGGACTGAATGCCCGGCCCTGATTTCCCACCCACCTCACAAGCGCCGTAGGATGCACAAAGGTCGGGCAAGCGGTGCAGTAGCACCATCGGACCCCCTGTTTTGTCCGAGCGCTAGCGCGTCACACTCGGGTGCCACCACACCCGTGACCCTGCCAAGACGGGCCAGACTGTCCACGCCCTCCTCCACCCCGTCGGTGTCCCCCGGCTCCGGAAGTGAGTGCGGGGGCCGCGGGGGTAGCAGTAGGGCAGGCCCAGAGAGAGGCTGCATGGATGAGAGCTGGTTTGTCACCCCTCCCCCCTGTTTCACTGCAGAGGGAACCACAGCGGAGGCCAGCCCGATGGAGGACCTGCTCATCGAGCACCCCAGCATGTCTGTGTACGTCTCCCCGAGTAGCTTCTCCATGGTCTCCAACCTGTCTGTGGTGGGAGAGGAGAGCATTGTCAGCCTGGCGAGCAGCATGAGGTGAGATCATGAGCCCTCTTTTATGACGGCTGCACTTGACCGTTACCTGCTTCTTTTTTCCAGCACCAATCACAATAATCACACCTTTTTATTACCTTTACAGCAGAGTGGCAGAACCAGCTGCCGTCCCCGCCACCCGCAGCACTATGCCCACCAGGGTGAGCCGCGGAGCAGCTGCCCAGGCCGGAGCTCTGGCCAAGGTCACCCAAGTGGCCCGGGTCCAGCGCGGCAAAGCCCGCATCGAGCGACGCCATCTGGGCCGCAACCGCATCCAACGCCAAAACCGCACCAGGGAGCAGCAGGTCCCTCGCCACGCGAACCATGCCAGAAACACCTTCCTTCACCAGCCCAGCAAGCGTAACATCTGCCACTGAACTCCCCCGAAAACCATGGGGGACGTCGTTTACTCTGACGGCATTAGTAGAGCATAGTCAACTCCAAGACACATAAGATTAAATGTATTCACCCACGGCAATTTTTGCTTTCATTTCTGCACATTATATCAAAATTACACTCAGATACCAGTAGACCGGTAGCTTTTCTTTTGTTTTGGTCCAATCATAAACTGACCTGGTAGTTTTATGCCCCATTCTGCTGTTGTGAACCAAGCCCTCTGAGTAGACATGTATACTACTTGTTGTCCATTGCAGTATCCAAACAACAACAAAAAAAATATTTATACAGGTTAAAAAATAATGTCTGAAAAACAACAAAAAGTTTAGCATTCTTAGTCGCATATAATTGTTTTCTTTCACTCTTCCCCAAGGCATGCTTTTTATATATTAATTCAATCATTAAGTTTTAAATTTGGAGATTTTAAATTTTAATAACCAACTGTACTTTAAGACGATTCTGGTGGAAACCATGCAGACAAGACAGAGACAAGTTCATCCTTCGTATCTTTGCAGAGAAAACAACTCATGGTGTCTTCGAAGCTTTTTTGGAGTTAGACCTCCAGCCCGCTGTGATTTTCCCTGAAACTAGAGTAGCATTAAAGCATGGTGGAATCAGCAAGCAGACAGGTGGCTATATAGTTAGCTAGCTGGCTACTTCCACCACGCTTTAATGCTACACTGGTTAAAGAAAATCCTCTGGCGATAGCAGTGGCAACAATACGCATAAAAACTGACCATCCAACTACGTTGATTTGAATGGGAATGTCCATTTTACTCCCATTGTGTTCCTATGACAGTTACATTATTTTAAAGTCTCTCCCTCTCCCTGCACGGTTCCACCAGAAGAAAGAAAAGAAAGCTTGTTCCTTTCAGAAAAAGAGAAAGTACACTTCTGGCTTCTAAAGCCAACAAATAGAAAAAGAAACCGCTCACTCAGCATGATGATCATTACACGTGTGGTCTGTAAAACTAAAGTAAAGTGCCCGGCACACATCCGCCATTTTCCATCCACAGTGTGTGTGTGTGCTGTGATCTTACGTTATCCATGTTGAACACCAAAAGTAGAAAAAGTACAACCTTTTTTTTACACACCAGTCACTTTCATTGAAAAGTCACGGAGGATAACTGTTTGGAGAACGGGGAAGAAACGTCTCTTTAAAGTCTGACAAACATCTTCCCCCTTCAACACATTCAAAACCGTCCTCTTGCATAAGATCGTGCAAGTGCAACCCGTTGCTCTCTAACATGTACTCCACTACCGCCCCTCCCTCTAGCACCTCCAACTCTAACAGTTTCCACTTAAAGATCTAGCTTACTGATATGTATTCAACAACAATAGTAAACTATGGTGCTGAAGTGTATACTAATGTTTGTAAATTATTTGAAACATGGATGTAAGTTTGCACTGTCATACATTTTGTGAGTCAAAGTTTTAGCGGTGTGCTGTGTGCTTGTTTTGTTTTTTTTCTTCTTCTTTTTCTTTTGTGATGTTTTGTTTTGATTCAAATTGTGTGTGAGAATGGTGTACTGACACGTTAAAACGCTAGAAACTCGTTTAAAAAAAAAAAAAAAAAAAACATGAATAACGATCATTTATTTCTCTTGTAAATATTACAAAAAAATATTTTATAACTGCTCCGTTAGATGTCAAAGCCTCTCAGGACTTGAGTCCGCAGCGTAATGAGAATCCTCTCTCCGCCTCACCTCTGAGCTCGTTATCAAATCAAGAGGGCATTTAGTGGCCAAAAGTGGTGTCTTTGCCCCCAACTGTGGTTGTATCTCTTTGAGATGCACCATATAAAAACCAGTGCTAGGCTCAGTGTTGATGTGCCATAGAAGAACACTGCCCTCCAGAGGTTTCACTATAGCACAGCTGTATGGATGCTGGAGATGATACAGAACACAACGACATGGTTTTAAACATCTGTTGTGTTCAAAAAGCCTGTCTGTCTGGGGGATTCATGTCACATTGTTTGGAAAATGGAAATATCTTGCCTCATTTAGATCATCTAGATAAGAGAAATACATTCTTTTCCCTTGATTCACGTACCACTAAGTTTTCATTTCTGCCATCAATCATGTACTCTGTTTTATTCAAAATCTGTTAAAGGGACAGTTGACCAAAAATACACATTTTTCCTTTTACCTGTAGTGCTGTTTTTCAATCTGGAGTTGTTGTTTTTGTGTGAAATCATGGCCTTGTTACTCAAGATAATTCACAGACCTTGTTCGGAACAGGTTCATGTTGTGATTTCTGGAAAGAGACATTGCTGTTGATTTTTTTTTTTATGTATTTTATTATTTTTTTGCCACTTTGAGCACCACAAGCAGAGTGACATATAGTCCCATTATTTTGGAGAGGAGGCAGACATCTCTTCCCCCAAAACAATCGAGATTGATATATGTAGCGCTACAGGTCAGAGCAAATTTTTTAGATTTTGGGTTGAACTGTCCCCTTTAATATCTGTTAATTTATTATATAATTATGCATTTTATCTTTTATTCTGTTTAAAGGGGACTATTATGTGTCCTGTTAATTTCTCTGAATTGTGCGGGAGATGGATCTGAGGTGATGAGTCAAACATGCACAGACATACAAACA